GTGTGGAGGAAGGAAACTTGCCCAATGTTTCACCCTGCCTGGGAATCAGACCTCGGTCCTCTCGCTTGCGACAAGTGTACTCTAACCACTAAGCTACACAGGACTGCTTTTTGAAAGCAGCGAGTCCTCTGATTTTCTGCAGTTAATTGACAGCCTGACGCAGTTCATAGCACTCTCACCTCTGAGTGTAAAGGTCATGGGTTCAAGCCAGACTTGACCTCGCAGTGTAAGCTGACACTCCGATGCAGTGCTGGCCTTGCAAGCAAGAGAGGACCTGGGTTTGATTCCCAGGCAGGGCGAAACGTTGGATAAGTTTTCTTACTCCACAAGCCTCTGTTAACCTAACAGTCAGTAGGAACCCGTTTGTCACACATACACACTAAGCTGAGACTCCAATACAGTGCTGGGGGGATGGCGGGGGGGGCACTATCTGAAAACAGAAGGGAGTTTCTTCCCGGTGTTCTGGCTAACAAATCCCCCAAATAAAATTGGTTACTCACTCCTTGTTTGTGCGACATTGCTATGCACAACTGGCTGCCGTGTTTCACCCACAAAATACAGTCAATCCACTTTACAGTATATCCTGTGAAGAGCTTTGAGACATCTGAACGACATGAAATACAAGGATTATTATTAGGTGCTGTTAGGGTTGCACTTCTGGTGCACATTGTTCAAAGAGCTGAAGTGGAGTGATTGGTGAATTCTTGGTGCTGATATTGACCTAATCAGGAGTGGGGGAGAAATTGTGAAGAGGAGCAGGGAGAAGTTATTCATTCTCAGCACTGGCACTAATCACCTCACCTGGCACATACAAACATTCATTTGAAAAGGAAAGCAGACATTCAGTGGGAATAGTCATCAAACTGTGTGAATTACCTGCTGTCTAAACCTGCCTGATCAAACAAAAATAATTTAATACTTGCATTTGATATTGCTCCTTATCACATGGTCTGAAAGCACTTGACGGATTTAACTATGTATTTTGTGGGCAAAACTTAGCAGCCAATTGCACACAGCAGTGTCCCACAAACAATCATGAAAGCAAGTGGCCAAATTTATTTAGGGGACCTGTCAACCAGGACACTAGGAGAAACTCGAACAGTAGTACAACTTGCACTTATACTGAGGACGTTAATGTAGCGTGAAAATCTCAAGGTGCTTGTCCATTGGGAGCACTGAGCTGGGAGATGGGACGGTTAGGCTGACAATCAAAAACATGGTCAAGAAGATATGATTTTAGTTGGGATTAAAGCAGGTAAAAAGGACGTGAGGCAAAGAGATTTTGAAAAGAGTTCCAGAGGACAGAAGTGTCATAGCTGAAGGATTAGTCATCAACGGAGGGATGGAGGGAATGAGGGACAAGGAATTACAGCAGGAACTTTTAAATTTGCCCAAATTGGAGACTGGGATCCAGTGGAGGCTGGCAAGGAAAAGTATAATGAGTTTGCAGAGCCTGGTGTAGGGGTAAGATTGTTGCTGGTTGATTGGCGGATCGCTTTCTGGGGGTAATAATCGCTTCAAAAAAAATGTTTAGTCACTCAATCAACGACTGTTTGTGGGACATTGCTGTGCATAGTTGGCTGCCGTTTTTCACCCACTAAATATACAATCAATTCACTTTACAGTATATTATGTGAAGCACTTCAAGACGTCTCGAAGACCTGATAAGGCACTATAACAAATGCAAGGTTTATTATTATAGATATAGGCTGCTGATGTCCAATCTATTTTGGAAGTACCCCCCACCAAAGCCTGCTGGATACAGTGAGGCATTGGGTAACGCAGACAGGAAAGGCTGCAAATTCATATCGTGGTCTGTTCTGGGAGAGCTGATCTCAGCTGTGCAGCAATTGGGGCTACAACCGCAACTGGTCTCAACAAAGCCTGGTTTATTAGGAAGGCAGGCAAAACTGGCAAAAAATACTGTACCCAGAGATTCTCCCTACTGGAAAGTGTGGGTACTGTATGAGAACAGAACTGGAACTCATTTGTGATTCCCCCCAAATTAAGAGTATCAAGGGATATGGGGCAAGGGCAGGTATTTCAAGCTGAGGTACAGATCAACTATGATCTTATAGAATGGCAGAACAAGCTTGAGGGCCTGAATGGCCTATTCCTGTTTCGATGTTTCCAAGTACCTACTGACATTCACTGTGTAGTAACTCTAAGCCCAGTAAAACAAAACAATGTGTGCATGTGTAGGGGTTGGGGGGGGGGGGGGAAGGTTGTTTCAAATTAACAAATATTGAACTTGAATTGGATTTCAATAAAATTCTGTAAGGGGGAAAAAGTACTGCAAAGAGTTAGGGCACAAGTTATAACTCACCATGTTTTCACCCCCTCCCCCATTTCCAAACAACTGGGCTGCAATTGATGCACAAGCACACAAACAAGCAACGAAGTGACGAGATTGCTATTACATGTGCATTGCAACGTCTTCTGAGGTACTTATGTTACTGACAATGCAACCTGACCCAAGGGCTGGTTTGTTTCCTCTTCAGAGGAAATGACAACACATCTAACAATTTCAAAACCATACTTAAAAAAGGAACTTAAAAAACATAGGAAAAGTCTATTGTGCGTCATCTGATGAAAGTGAGTTAATTTCTTTCTCTCCTTTGGATCATATCAATCAGCAACCCCACACATATGGTATTAATAAGCCATAGTGGAAATCCTGTTGCTCAGTGGTTAGAGCACTCGCCCCACAAGCGAGAGGACCTAGGTCCGATTCCCGGCCAGGGCAAGTTGGGCAAGTTTCCTTACTCCACACTTCTCTATTCATTGAGCATTAAGTAGCAACCTGGTTGGTAGTCGATTGGCAGATCGCTTTTCCAGAGGTAATAATCCACAACTGTTTGTGGGACACTGCTGTGCGTAATGATTGCCGTGTTTTGCCCACAAAATATACAGGGGAAGGGAGGGGAGGAAAGAGGGGGGAAGAGGGTGGGGTGGTGGGAAAGGGGGAGGGGGAGGAAGGTTTTTTGAAGCAGTTTTGTGTGACATCCCACACGTTTTACACGCGTTAACTGTTCCAAGGCGAAAACCCAAATACACAAAAGCCAAGCCATGATGAGCGGTATCCAAGCTCAATAAACATTCAGCTCCCACCAAAACATACACACACACGCTTGCTGATATGATCAAATGAGCCTGAAAATACTAACCCTCCATCCACTCCCCCAAGAAAATCACTAGTTTAAGTGGCATCTGGATGGCAGTAATCCCCTTAACCATATCACAACCCCACGCCCCGCGAAAAAAAAAACTGTGCCTCCAAGGGGAAAAACACTGAAGAGAAAGAAACGGGAGTTTTTTTAACGTTGGCTTCCCAGCTGGCGGGTACACTCTTGTTTACTGGGACGACACGACCTCTCTCTCTCGCTTTGCAAAGTCCTGGCCAAACACATTACAATTGAGATTTTTTTTAAAAAGCAACTCAACTGTGAATTGAATTGTCTGTTTCTGCCTCATCCAATTTACATATTAAATGTCCACATATTGTATATGTTAAAAGGATCATTATTACATAAAATACTATTTTCTTTTTTTAAATGTAAATATCAAATTTCACACATTATATATGTTTAAAAATTATTACTGTATGAAGTATTATTTAAGTGCTTTAAGTGGTGGTAATGGTGGGGTGAGGGGGAGATAAGTTATATACTAAAGTATTAATGTAAAGTATTAATTACATGTTTTTTTAAGTGGTAGTAATGTGTTGGAGGATGAATTTCAGCAATGAATTGCATGCATTAAATTAAATGCAAATGACTAGATTTCTTTCGAGACAAAAGTTGGACTTTAAATAAAGTAATTTGAAAAATAAAATACGTGGCAAACATAACACACGACCACCCCCCTCACACACACACACAACCCCCCCTCACACACACACACAACCCCCCCTCACACACACAACCCCCCCTCACACACACACACAACCCCCCCTCACACACAACCCCCCCTCACACACACACACAACCCCCCTCACACACACACACACACACAACCCCCCCTCACACACACACACACACACAACCCCCCCTCACACACACACCACAACCCCCCCTCACACACACACACAACCCCCCCTCACACACACACACACAACCCCCCCTCACACACACACAAACCCCCCCTCACACACACACACACACACCCCCCCTCACACACACACACACCCCCCCTCACACACATCCACACCCCCCCCTCACACACACACACAGCCCCCCTCACACACACACACACAACCCCCCCTCACACACACACACAACCCCCCCTCACACACACACACAACCCCCCCTCACACACACACACAACCCCCCCTCACACACACACACAACCCCCCCTCACACACACACACAACCCCCCCTCACACACACCACACACACAACCCCCCCTCACACACACACACAACCCCCCTCACACACGACCCCCCCTCACACACACAACCCCCCCTCACACACACAACCCCCCCTCACACACACAACCCCCCCTCACACACCCCCCCCTCACACACACACACAACCCCCCCTCACACAACCCCCCCTCACACACACACACAACCCCCCTCACACACACACACACAACCCCCCCTCACACACACAACCCCCCTCACACACACAACCCCCTCACACAACCCCCCTCACACAACCCCCCCTCACACACACACACAGCCATAGTTTGAATAACTTTTTCCTCCCTCTGGAGGAGGGAACGGCAGCTTCAGTAAATCACACTAAAACCACCGCATTTTATGGTATCAGTTGCAATGTCGAATTAGGAAACAGCCGAACAAACCCTTTCATTTATTTCAAATTTAAAAACATTAAAAGGCCTTTTTTTTTGTTCCTTTATCATACACTATATTATAGAGTTATACAAACAATGCGAAACAAACGCTATACAGCAATTAAGGGTTAGGGTGGAAAAGGGGAGAAAAAAAAGACATGGCAAAGCATTACAATACGCCCCACTCCAACACAGCAGCTTACCCCGGGCTCGAGCTCGGGCTGGACTGGGACTGCCTTCACTGCGGGTCCGCGCAGCGCCAACAGCCACCGCACGCGCTCCGACCGTCGCCACTCCCCTCCTCACAAACAAGGCGGCTCCATGTCCCGCCCGCCGCCTTCTCATTGGTCGCCCTCACGCTATCAATCGCTCTCGATTGGTCAATCTATGTGTCAATCGTTGAGGCGCTTCCGCCCCTTCCACAACAAGTCGCCTCTGAGCTTCCATGTCCCGCCGCCCGCCCTTCCTCCGCCTTCCTATTGGTCATCCTTACGCTGTCAATCTTATGACTCGGCTCTCTCTTGGTCGATCAATGTGTCAATCATCAGGCGGGTGGGGGCGCAGCAGCTCCCTCCGTTGATTGGTTACATGTCCATCACGGAACCGTGCTTTTTGATTGGTCGAACTTATTGTCAATCAACGGGATCCATCCTGCTGATTGGTTTATCTTCATGTCAATCGCGCTGTTCGCCAAGCCTCCCGAGTGACTGTCAGTCACGTGGTGTTTATGCGACTGCTGATTGGCTAAACGAGGAGCGCGTGGTGGCCACGTGCAGAGCTGTGGCTCAGCGAATGAGAGGCCGTGATTGACAGTGGCAGGTCAGGCTGCCACCACGTGCTCAGCTCAGGTCAGCGCACTGCACCGCCATCGCTGGGCGCTTCCCCGGGCCGGGGCCGGGGCCGCAGCACAGGGCATTGATATAGTGCCTCATTACATCTTCAAGACGTCTCAAAACGCTTCACAGGGCATACTTTTAAAGTGTAGTGACTGTGTTTTGTGGGCGAAACGCGGCAGCCAATTGTGCACAGCCGCCTCCTACAGGCGAGTGGAGTAAGGAAACTTGGCTAAAGTTTCACCCTGACCGGGAATCGAACCCGGGTCCTCTCGCTTGCGAGGCGAGTGCGCTTACCAATACACTACGTTATTAAATAATGTTATTTAAATTTAGCGTAGAGTTAAAAACTGGAAGCTAATTTTTCGCACACAAACAGCATTCCTCAATTGAGTTTAGTTTGCAGAAAATTCCAGTTTTAGGGATTAGAAAGACCTTGTTTTGGAGGATAAAAAAAGACTGAGAGCAGATGCATCAGATTTCAGTATTTTAACACTTAAATCAAGGACAAGATACATCTACAAATGAGCCTGAGTGCTTAGCTAAATTGCTTGAAAGTGATAAATAATTTTATAATAAATAATCCTTGCATCTGATAAAGTTTTGTTCATTTGGCTGGACTTGACAAAATGTCCCAAGGACACATGTTAACTGACATGGTCGCAAATTATCAGGACACAAGATATTGTGTTTGGCGAAGTGGATCACTAATCATCGCTGGAAATAATCTAAATGTTATAAATATAACAATAATTTGGTCAATCGCACAACTGCTTGTGGGATGTTGCTGTGCGCAATTGGTTGGCGTATTTTGCCCGCAAACACATACAGTCACTACACTTCACAGTATATCATGTGAAGTACTTTGAGATGTCTCGAAGTCATGATTAGGCACTATAGCAGTTTATATTCCGCATGTGTCAGACATCCGGCTGAAAAAATTGCATTGAGAGACCTATGTGAAGGGCTGACCATAGACCACAGAAACCACTGAGTTAGGTGAGTGGCCACATTATTATTATTTTCTATTTATATATTTTTTTGGAATGGATTATTACCTGCAGAAAAGAGATCCGAGAATCGATGAACAACCCAGTTCCTACTTACTGCTAGGTAAACAGAGGCATGTTGTTTTTAAAAAGTACCCTGTAGATTCCGAGGAAGTAAAAATGAAGAGCATCATATTGGGAGGCAGATCATACTCAGAGCTTGGAAAGTTACGGAAAACCTGTGTCTGGAGCACAATTTACCTAATTCTAGATTATCAAGCACAGGTTGACGAGAGCTTCTGCTTGGAGACCCCAGAACAACAACAACAAAATTACACTTGTAAAGCTCCTTTCACGTCTGGAGAACGTCGCGAAGCACTGGACAAGGGTAGTTTTTGCTCTGCCCGGGTATGTTTCAAGGTACGTTTTGCCCTGCCTGGGAATCGAACCCAAGTCATCTCGCTTGTGAGATGAGTGCTCTCACCGCTAAGCTACAGGACTCTACGAGTACATCATAATTGTATCGTAATTGTACATTGCAATTGTACACTGTAAATTACATTGTAAAGATTCACAGATATCCATTATTCTCTAAATAACACTCAATCCACGACTGTTTGTGGGACACTGCTGTGCGCAATTGGCTGCCGCGTTTCGCCCACAAAATATACAGTCAATTCACTTTACAGTAATATTCTGTGAAGAGCTTTGAGACGTCTCGAAGATGTGATAAGGCGCTATATCCACTGGCTTCCCATCACATAGAGGATACAGTTCAAGATTCTGGTCCTCACCTTCAAAACCCTCCATGGTCTTGCTCCCCCCTACCTCTGCGACCTCCTAACCTCCTACCATCCTGCCCGCTCCCTCCGCTCAGCGGGCTCTGGCCTGCTTCACGTCTGCCGCCTCGCCTGCCCCACCTTTGGCAGGCGGGCCTTCTGCCACTCTGCCCCCACCCTCTAGAATTCCATCCTGCAGTCCCTGCGCTTTGCCCCCTCCACCCTTCAAGACCCATCTCAAGACCCTCCTCTTCGACTGTGCTTTCGATCACCCTGCCTCCCCCTCTGCCCTCCACCCTCCCCAATCCTGACTTCCAGCTCGGGTCCCAAACTCTGACTGTTGTTGTTGCATATCAAATGCAAGAATTATTATTATTATTATCCCTGGGTAACCAGACGTACTCTCATCGGAGCAAAGTTACCACAAAACTGGAGGGGAGCCCCATCTGCTGAAATGTTCATTTCATCTCATCTAATGAGTTGATCTGTTTGTAATCAAACACCCTCAAGATTCTTCTCAGGAGATTTTAGCCTTGTTGACAACAGTCTCATATTACCTATCTGTATTTATACACACGTGTTGGATTGGGAGAGGGCAAAACTCTTGGGAAACAGGAATATAAAGTGATGAGCAGTCATTAACAAAACATCAGCATTTGACTTGCTGACCTCTGTCCACAGCTCATATTCAGCTCTTACATAATGCAAGATAGGTCTCTGAAACTGGCCTCAGATAGTGATAACAAACATCAATGGGGAACTGTTGAGATGTGTATATAGGAACAGGAGTTGCCCATTCAGCCCTTCGAGCTTGTTCCACTATTTAATTAGATCATGGCTGATCTGTACCTCAACTAATCCTTTCATTTCCAATTTCCCGCTTTCTACCCATATCCCTTAATACCCTGACCCACCAAACATCTATCAACTTGTAAACCATCAAAAATGTAAACCTTTTCCTGTGTGCAAAACAACAACAACAATTTCCATTTATACAGCACCCTTCACGCGGGGCAACATCTCGGAGCGCTGACAATGGTGGAGTCTGACCCCGAGCCAGGGGGAAAGAGAAGGGGGGAGGTGACCATAAGCACGATGAAAAAGGGAGGTCTTTAGGCAGAATTTAAAAATGGGGAGAGAGGGAGGGGGCAAGTTAGAGGAATTGAGGGAGAGAGTTCTAGAGTTTCGGGATGTAGTGGCTGAAGGCACAGCCACTGTGCGCTGGGAGAAATCACAGGGGGAGGAGGGGAGGGGAAGAGATATGTTAGTGACCTGTGACATGAGTGAGAGAAGGGGGGTGGAATGGAAGCAAATAAGGGGAGTGAAAGCACAGTTTCACTGTACTGACAAAGTTTCACACTTACATTTTTACTCCTTGTTTAATATAAAGTTCTATTTCTGTATCACTATAATTTGCATTAAACTATTGAATTAATATTAGAAAGGAATTCTTTTTGGCTTTTTATAATAATAATTTTGTAAACTAATAAACTGTGAGATCATTTTGTCTTTAAAACAGCCAGAATTGTTTTAAAATTCTTAAACTCAATCAGTAAGCCTGGTTTCACAGCTTTTAAATTTTAATACAAATTAGTTTTACAGGCGAAGGCAAAACGGCATTTAGGGCTTCACTTATTGCCTAGTAAAATACAAACACTCCCCTCCACACTGTACTTAAACACAGAGATCAGAAGATTGTTAATGAGGGCATTATCTGAATCTACGATTAGTTTGTAGCCTTGTTTCTATTATCCCTGCATAAACCACCTCAACCCTATGATTACATTGTAATGATTCCCTGCGATAAATATTTGTGATTTAAAAGGTCTGTATTGAGTTAGCTGATGTCAGTTATGGTTGGTCTGACCACCCCTTGGGTAAGGAGGGGATAGCAATCAGTCAGGATTCCTATTCCCCGTCTGGAGAAGGTAACTATGTAAACATTGAATGCAATTGGGATTTGGCTATCAAGCAAATTGGCTGCTGTGTTTGCCTACAAAACAGTCACGACACTGACGTGTAGTAATAATAATCCTTGCATTTGATATAGCGCTTTTTACATCTTCTAGACATTCCAAAGCACTTCACAGAATATACTGTAAAGTGAATTGACCGCATATTTGTAGGCAAAACACGGCAGTCAATTGCGCACAGCAGTGTCCCACAAACAGTCATGGATTGAAGTGACCAATTTTTTACAATTTTTTTGTTATTTTGTTTTTTCTTGATGGATTATTATTAGGCGTGTGGAATAAGGAAACTTGCCCAAGGTTTTGCCCTGCCAGGAATCGAATTCAGGTCTCTTGCTTGCAAGGCGAGTGCTCTAACCATTCAGCTGCAGGACACCTGGAGTATTATTAGTCTGATTGTTTGTGGGACACTGCTGTGCGCAATTGGCTGCCATGTTTCACTTTACAGTATATTCTGTGAAGCTCTTTGAGACGTCTTGAAGACATAATAAGGCGCTATATCAAATGCAAGGATTAATATTATTATTATTATTTGGTTGCACTCTCGCGTATGATTCAGAAGGTTGTGGGTTCAAGCCCCACATTGAAACTTTGAACTTACATTCTAGGCAAACACTCCAATGTAATGTTGGAGATGCTGTCCTTCAGATGGGATATTAAACCAAGGTCCTATCTGCCTGTTCAGGTGGGATAAAGATCCCATGGTACTATTTGAAAAAGAAAATGGAGTTTCTCCTGATGT